CTGCTTTCTCCTCTAGGGTTTTGATGGTTTCCTGTCTCACATTCAGGTCCTTTATCCATTTTGAGTTTCTTTTTGTGAATGGTGTGAGAAAGTGGTCTAGTTTCAACCTTCTGCATGTTGCTGTCCAGTTCTCCCAGCACCATTTGTTAAAGAGACTGTCTTTTTTCCATTGGATGTTCTTTCCTGCTTTGTCAAAGATGAGTTGGCCATACGTTTGTGGGTCTAGTTCTGGGGTTTCTATTCTATTCCATTGGTCTATGTGTCTGTTTTTGTGCCAATACCATGCTGTGTTGATGATTACAGCTTTGTAGTAGAGGCTAAAGTCTGGGATTGTGATGCCTCCTGCTTTGGTCTTCTTCTTCTTCAAAATTACTTTGGCTATTCGGGGGGCCAGGCCCCAGATCTAATCCCATCCTTCACACCTTTACTGTTGGCTCTCACAAGCCTCCCTTACTTCTTACATCCACATTGGATGGCTGGATGTTGTCCCAAAACCCCGTTTTGGCTTTGCTTTTGTGGTTTTTGAGTCAGAGGGCCCATTTCTCCTTTCTCCTTATCCTCTAATTGTTTAAAACAATGAGCCAAAATGGGGCACTTGGGTGGCTAAGTCAGTTAAGCTTCTGACTTTGGCTCAGGTCATGATCTGAGCTCGTGAGTTTGAGCCCCGTGTCGGGCTCTGTGCTGACAGCTCAGAGCCTGGAGCCTGCTTCAGATTCTGTGTCTCCCTCTCTCTTTCTGCCCCTCCCCCACTCATGCTCTGTCACTGTCTCTCAAAAATAAATAAACATTAAAAATAAAACATTGGGCCAAAAATTTATTACATAGTTGGTAGCAATATTATGTATGTATTTATATGTACATGTATATATACACGTATGTGTAAATGTGTTTATATAAATATGCACATATCTCACAAGCTGATTTTCATCACAAAGGGCAGGTGGCATCAGGTCAGCTCTGCCATCTCTTAGACATACTACTCTGTTGGGGAAATAAAAGTCTCCCAACTTGGTGTGTTTGCGTCTGTTAAATGTACTGGGGTTCAAATGGACGGTATTTGCCCTAGTGCTTTGTAAAGTCCTGGGCCTGAACTTAATTATGACCCAGGTAGAGCACTTCTTTGAGAAGAACTGAGATAACTCACCCAGATTCTTTGCTTTCGGATGGAATTTAAGGAATTTAGGTATATGGCCAGTTAGCAGGATTAGGGAAAAAAGAATTATCATTTGGTGGGTGGCAGTCCCTTTATGTACATTATGCCATTTGATCCTTTGAACCCCCATGAGATAAGTAGGTATTTTACAGGCGAGAATATTGAGGACTAGAGAGAGGTGGGTGGTTGCCCCAGATCTAAAGATTGTTAGGCTCTCCTAGCAGTCGGGCTCTGCAGCAGACAGTGGGCGGCTGAGCAACCAACCGTGTGTGCTTCAGCTTTTGTCAGCCCTGGTTTCTTTTCTTAACACCCATTATTGTCCAGGCCAGAGACTATTTTACTGTAGATGGTTTGGGAAAAAGTTTTAGTTCAGCATACGTGTTCATCCTAGTGTTTATGTTCTTTCCCTTTCTCTCCTGGATGGTATTTCTGTGTAAACATCATTGTGGCCATAAAAATATTTGGCTTTCTGTTGTGCTTATTTTCTCAGGGGTTATGAAGTGTATTATGTGTATGCAGTGCATTTAAACTAGACAGAAAGCAAATGTTTATTTAGTGGAATAGGAAAGAAATGAAATTCATGGCATATATGTGCATATTCTTTTTTTTTTTAAGTTTATTTATTTTGAGAAAGTGTGTGAGTGGGGGAGGAGCAGAGAGGGAGGGAGGGAGGGAGAGAGAGAGAGAGAGAGAGAGGGAGAGGGAATCCCAAACAGGCTCCACACTGTCAGTGTAGAGCCCAACATGGGGCTCGAACTCATGAACTGTGAGATCATAACCTGAGCCAAAATCAAGAGTTGGAAGCTTAACTGACTGAGCCACCCAGGTGCCCCAATAAATGCTTATTCTTTTTTTTAAAAAAATTTTTTTTTTCAACGTTTTTATTTATTTTTGGGACAGAGAGAGACAGAGCATGAACGGGGGAGGGGCAGAGAGAGAGGGAGACACAGAATCGGAAACAGGCTCCAGGCTCTGAGCCATCAGCCCAGAGCCCGACGCGGGGCTCGAACTCACGGACCGCGAGATCGTGACCTGGCTGAAGTCGGACGCTTAACCGACTGCGCCACCCAGGCGCCCCAATAAATGCTTATTCTTAAAAAAAAATTTTTTTATGTTTATTTTGAGAGAGAGAACAAGTGAGCAGAGGGAGGGGCAGAGAGAGATGGAGAGAGGGAGGATCACAAGCAGGCTCCGCACGTCAATGCCCAGCCTCACGCGGGGCTCAAACTCGTGAGGTCATGAGCTCAGCCGAAATCAAGAGCTGGATGCTTAACCGACTGAGCCACTCAGGCGCCCCTAAATGCATATTCTTAATATATTATCACTTCTATGTATCTGGAGTCCTATATAGATCAAAATCAAGGATTTCACTTCCTTGAGTCTGGGGGCAGTGGTGGTGGTAGTGGGAATAAGGTCAGCTGCAACAGCTAGCATTTGTAGAGCTGTTATCATGTATGTATATGTGTTACATTTGTTATATACATGTTACATGCATGTTTCTAAGGGCTTCGCTTGTATTAGCTTTTTAAAACCTCTCCATAAACCTCAGAGATGGTGGTATTATTATCTCCATTTTATAAATGAGGAAATCGAAGCACAGAGAGGGTAGGAAACTTACCTAAGGTCACACAGCTAGGATACATACTACACTGTCTTGGCAGTTCTCAATCTGAGTTAATTCAAATTTGTATTGTTAACCACTTAAATACATGACTGAAATGTTTCTCCATTACTGTTATTGTTTCCTTTCCTGGGGCTTGAACTCAGTGTGCTTTTTTAGGGGCACTAGTAATTATTTTCAAAGTAAAATTATTTTTTTAAGATTTTTTTAAGATTATTTTCAAAGTAAAAATGACCAGGCCTAGCGGAGTTCTATATAAATCACTGGAATTACTGAGTTATACTCAAGGAACTAAGGCAGTCCTTCTCACTATGTATTATTAACAATAGTATTTTAAAAATTCAGGTATGAAAATGTTACACATTCAGGAAGGTGCTTTAATTCTGTAAGCTGTTGAAATGGAAAAATTCGTGTGTTTAAATGCTGGCTGGTGGAGTACTGCTTTCAGTTACAGCAGATATGGAATATCTAAATGGTTTGGCAAGAAAAGATAAAGCAAACATTTTTTCCTATTTAGCAAGCAGTAATTCTGGATTCAGAAGTGGTATTTTGCAGGAAGAAAGTTTGCGTTGACAGAGACACAATGTTCTTGTAAGTTTGAGAAAATTTTTATTAGCTAAGAAATACTGTGGATGCTGTGTAATGAGTCTTAATGCCTTTATGTTAAAGTCAGTATTCCCTCCGCCCCTCCCCCCTTTTTGTTTTTTAGCTCTGAAAAGGACATGGATGAAAATGAAAGCAACCAATCTCTGATGACAAGCAGCCAGTATCCTAAAGAAGCAGTAAGAAAACGCCAAAATTCAGCACGGAGTTCTGTAGGAAGTGATTCTTCTAGGTTCTCCAGGAAAAGTTTCAAATTGGATTACAGACTAGAAGAAGATGTAACTAAATCAAAGAAAGGAAAGGATGGCAGATTTGTCAACCCTTGGCCAACTTGGAAAAATCTCTCTGTTCCAAATGTTCTTAGATGGCTGATAATGGAGAAAGATCACAGCAGTGTTCCGTGTTCCAAAGAGGTAGCGTTTGGTTTTTCTGGGGGGCTGCGTATTTTGGGGGGCTCTTATTACTTAATTTTGCTCTGAATTGTATCATGACACTCAAGTTAGTTAATTGAGCTCCTTTTATATGATAAGGCATAGGGCTAAGTTCTGAGAAGAAAAAGTGAATAAGGTGTCCTCAAGTTCATAACTTAGCAACAAAGTATGTATATGAATAACCATTCTGATCTGGTGGCAATTGGGGTAGGAATAGAGTGCTTTAGAAGTACAGGATGAATGGATAAATAAGATGTGATATACATACATAACACAGTCAGTGGAATACTACTCAGCAGTGGAAAAGAATGAAATCTTGCCATTTGCAACAACGTGGATGGAACTGGAGGGTATTATGCGAAGTCAAATAAGTCAGTCAGAGAAAGACAGGTATCCTATGTGCTCACTCATGTGGAATTTGAGAAACTTAACAGAAGACCATGGGAGAAGGGAAGAAAAAAAATAGTTACAAACTGAGAGGGAGGCAAACCATAAGAGATTCTTAAATACAAAGAATAAACTGAGGGTTGATGGGGGAGGGAAGGGGGGAATGGGCATTGAGGAGGGCATTTGTTGGGATGAGCACTGGGTGTTGTGCGTAAGCGATAAGTCAAGGGAATCTACTCCCAAAGCCAAGAGCACACTGTATACTCTGTATGTTAGCCAACTTGACAATTAAAAAAAAAGGAAAGGAAGCGGTGGATCCGAGCTGGGAGGGCTGGAGATGGCTTCTCAGAGTTGGCAATTTGTTATTTGAGCCGGGCCTAAAAAGATAAAAAGTATTTTGGCAGTGGTTTTCAGGTGGATGATGGCATGAACAAGGCCATGGAGGTGAGAATGTGCATGGCATGTCCCATCAAGTAGTAACCTGATGTGTGTTTGCCCAGAGTGCTTGGCTTTTCATCCTTGGACACGGCTGCTAAAACTGTGAAAGGAATCTTCGGATAACCTTTCCAGACCTTAAACAATTGGCAGTAGGTCACGGACCTTTAAATAAATGACATTTACCTAGGGTGAAACTTTTTTTTAAGTTTAGTTTCTTATTTTGAGAGAGAGAGTGTTCATGTGCAGGGGAGGGGCAGAGAGAGAGAGGGGAGAAAGAGAATCCCAAGTAGACTCCGTGCTGTCAGCACAGAGCCTGATGCGGGGCTTGAACTCAAACTGTGAGATCATGACCTGAGCTGAGATCAAGAGTGGGAGGCTTAACCGACTGAGCCACCCAGGTGCCCCTTTAGGATGAAACTAATTAACATTTGGCATACAGTTTATTAGATCAGTGTGATTACATTTGGCAGGGAGTGGGTGGCTCCCAATTGCAGGAGCTGTTTCTTGCCCCCTCTTTTTTCTTATTTTCTTGCTTCTCTCTACCACCTGTCTCCTTTGGCTTCTCTTTTCTACCAACCTCTGTCATACAAGGCTTTGGAGGAAGTGGAGAGAGAGAGAGAGAACTTGATGTTGGGAGTGGGGGACAAGATGAAAAGAGTGGGGGGCATCCTTGAAGGCTTGATCTGCAGTGGGAAAGACAACAGGGGGAGTGGCTGCTTGTGGTGGTGGTGGTAGATCCTTGGGTAAGCGTGTCTTTTTCTTTTTAAGGACATGGGATTTAAAAACGGTATTAACACTTTGATGCTAAGGAGTGTTCACAGTATTAATCCTAGTTAACAGAGTTGATTAATATGATTAATGCTTTTCTAACACCTTGTTAGAATGAGGCAGGCAGGGCATTAATAGATAAAACTGTATTACGTGTTTCAGCTTTGAGGCCGGGAGGAACAAGAAGCCTCCCCCCACTTGTTTTTTCCTTCTGAAGAAGCCATATGAAGAGCAACATGGAAGGGTGTTGTGAAGAGGAGGGGTAGGGCAGGGGGCTACCTGTTTGGGGTAAATTTCCTACTGGTTTTGAGCCACAGCTTCTAAAACTGCAGAGGCAAGCAGTGGTAATTTTGGATTTCTTTCATTTCATATGGGAAGTGAGCGATCACACGAAGGCAGAAATACATCTGTGTGTTCTAAGGATTTGGAGATATTCTAGAAACTGGGTTGAATGAGAACTTGCCAGGCTAGTGGTTCTGAAGCTCTTTTCAACCCTGGCCCCTTTTGAATGTCTGATGAAAGCTGTAGACCTTATGTGGACATAAACACATTGCCTTTTACTGTAATTTCAGTGAGTTCATGGGTTCTCTCAAGCCCTTCCTCATTCATTCACTCATCCATTCATTTAGTTACTACTTATTTATTTAACATTTTTTAATGTTTATTTTTGAGAGAGAATGAGAGACTGAGCATAAGTGGGGGAGGGGCAGAGAGAGAGAGGGAGATACAGAATCCGAAGCTGTCAGCACAGAGCCTGACACAGGGCTCAAACCCAGGGACTGTGAGATCATGACCTGAGCCGAAGTTGGACGCTTAACTGACTGGGCCACCTAGGCGCCCCTCATTTAGTTACTATTTATTGAGCACCTGCTGTGTGAGCACACAGTTCTAGGCAGTAGAGGGAGACCCTTGAACAAAGCAGAAAGACACTGTGGCATTCTTGGACCTTGGGTTCAGTGGAAAAGAGAAATAGTAAACAAATGGGTAAAATATGTATTAAAATATGACTAGTGCTTTGAAGAATAACAAAGAGAAAGGAATTAGGGTGGAGGTGGGAACTACATTCTTTAATGAAGTGTAAACTTTTTTTTTTTAAAGGCAGAATTGTTTAATTGAAGTATGGTTGACCTATAATATTAGTTTGAAATGTGTGACACAGTGATCTGACAGTTATATACATTACTTAGCGCTCACCATGATAAGTGTAGTTACCCTCTGTTACAGTACAAAATTATTACAGAGGGCGCCTGGTGGCTCAGTTGGTTAAGCGTCTAACTTCAGCTCAGCTCATGATCTCACGGTGCCTGAGTTCGAGCCCCATGTCATGCTCTGTGTGGACAGCTCGGAGCCTGGAGCCTTCTTCAGATTCTGTGTCTCCCTCTCTCTCTGCCCCTCCTCTGCTCATGCTCTCTCTCTCTCTCTAAAATAAACATTAAAAAACTTAAAAAAAAATTATTATGATATTATTGACAGTATTCAAAAGTACTATGTTGTACTTTTCATTTCTGTGACTTAGTTTATTTTATAACTGGAAGTTTGTACCTCTCAATCCCCTTCACCCATTTCACCCAGTACCCTACACACACACCCCTTCTGACAACTGCCAGTTTGTTCTCTGTGTGTAGGAGTCTTTCTTTTTTAAATTTACTTGTTACGTTTTTTAGATTCCACATAAGGTGAAATCATATGGTGTTTGTCTTTCTCTGTTTAACTTATTTCACATAACATCGTGCCCTCAAGTTATCATTCTTTTTACGTTATCATTCTTTTTTATGGAGGAGCGATATTCCATGGTGTATATATAACACATCTTCTTTAACCATTCATCCATTTTTTTTAAGCCAGGGTTTATTCTTACTTAAAACTAAGAGTCTTTAAAATACCCAAAGCCAGAAGAATTTCCAGGTTTGAGATGGTATCACAGTCAGGTGATGGCTGCTGCTTCCTCTTTTTCTAAAGCCTCAGAAGGATCCTGGGCAATTTTTCTCGAAAATGTTTCTGGTCTGAAAGCTGATGCCTAGTTTGCTTCATACATCAATCCAGTGAGGAAGAAAAGCACAGTGCCAGTAACAGTCGTCATTGCGAGAGAAACACATCTAGGTTCCCCCTCGTTTCCACATACAGCTAAGAACTAGATCAGATGCATGTTGACTTTTCTTATTTTCATATGTAACTAAAGCTCCATGTTTAATCCCTTTACATTGGCAAAATTACTTTTACCAACTTTAAAATATGATAGTCTTCCACATTTTCCAGAAAACCACCCCCCAGACATGAAGAATACCTGCTTCAGATGATTGGGTCCATTCAGAATGTAATCAGATTCTGGAAATTGTTTTTGTTAGACATTGGGGGGGCTAAAGTTTAGTGAAATAAAACTTCAAATTATTGTTTTGGAAGGAGACAGGATAATATACACATAGGGTTATAATTACTATATATTAGGCAGTTTATATCATTATAACATATATCATTATAACATATGTTAATATGTTATAATGATATAACCTGTAATTTACAGGTCTAAGTAAAATGAAAATTGGTCATTAACAAAGCTAAACCATTTAGTTGGCTAGTCAGAAAATCATTTCTTTAACTTGGACCATTTCTGATACTTGCCTTTTCTGGGCAGCATGCCAGTTCACAGGCTTCACGCTGTTGAGACGCGGTCATTGCTTTGGGTTGTTGGAAAGCTCAGTGACTTTGTCTGGTTATTGTTGATTATAGTTACCAGAGTCCGGGGAGGGGGAAGAGACAGTTGGAGAATTTCAAAGAAGGAGGGAGGCAGAATGTCCTGAGGTTCACTGGTTGGGGGAGGCTGTCCTTACCAGTCACTACTATAGAAGTGACTAAGGGACGGTCACATTGGAGTATGAGACAGACATGGAACTGAGAAAACGCATCCTGGACTGGTAGGAAAAGTGCGATACCCGGAGTCCAGAAACCAGGCTCAGGTTCAGGATATCTCACTGAGTACTTGACTTTATTTCTATCACAGATCCTCAAGGCACTTTTTTTTT